TTTGGATCTAGTTTAAAGCTCTTTTGATGAGCCCTGCTAACTTCTTGGACAGCATCCTTTTGCCCCTTGGAGACAGGTATACCCCATCATACATTCTCCTGCTTCTGTTTACCACAGCAGTCCTTCATCACAATGGCTGTGCTTTCAGGGTCTTCCCTGAATACTGGCTGACCACAACACCATGCTGGTACAGGTGAGGGGTTATCTTGAATTTTCAGGTGGCTTTTTAGTGACTTCAGCCCACAAGATGCTCGGATTGTTCCACATGCTGACACACCTCTCTGAGTGGAGCCACCTTTCCAGTCCCACGTTGGGCTGCCAGTGGTTGGTGGTAGACCTGGTGACCCCCTGCGGCTGGGGACTGCCTTCCACGGCGGGGGACGGCCTTCCAGCCACACTGGCTGTCCCCTGTCCTCTGGCCCATGCTGTTTGCACACCACAGTTCCTGAGCTAGCTGTCTGCAGTGCATACTTTCCTGAAATTAGAGGGAGGGAAAAATCTGACCCCCCTGCATTAATACCACATTTACCAAGAAACACACAAATAGCAAAATCCATGCACAACTTGCCTTGGATCATAGAATCAGAGAGTGGTTTGAGTTGGAAGGGACCTTAAAGATCATCTAGTCCCACCCCCCCTGCCATGAGCAGGGACACCTTCCACTAGAACAGGTTGCTCAAAGCCTCATCCAGCCTGGCTTTGAACACTTCCAGGGGAGGCAGGATGACCTTGTGGTGAGTTCCATCCCCTGGCAAAGGCGAGTGTGAAAGCTCTCAAGTGCCACTATCCCAAGTGGGCTTCTGGGTCAAAGATCCAGCCCCACCACAAAGGGCTGCCAATGCCTTGGCAACCCCTCCCCATACCCCCGCAGAAACCAGCACCCCTACACACCTCTGGCTACTCCGGCTCTGGACAAAGAGCTTTGATAGGCCTTTCTCCAAAATACAATGGGAGCACACAAAGGCAAGCACTTGTGTTGGTTACAGAGTTTTCTGTTCTGCTGAGCAACTGCCAGCATTTCACATTTGCCTTTGCAAGGCACATTGGACCTTCCTGCTGCCTCCAAAAGCATTTGTTATCTCAAGGTCCTGTGGAAGAACATTTGGAAAAGGAAGGGGAGGAGAAATGCAACATTTGACACTGAAGGAAAAACTTCCAGAGGACACTGTTTATTTGTGCAAAAGCACATTAGCTAATAATGAAGCTGCTGCTCAGAGACAGGTGTAATTGAGAATTTTTTAACAGACTGTATCTAAATAGAGCAGAGAGTGTCTTTGAGAAGATCTGGAATAGTATAGCTTGGGAGTGGAAGGAGGAGAGAAGATATGCACATATGCCTGCCAGCAGATACAAATGGGGTTTTAGCCAGGAAGTAGTTCAGCCTTTGTCACCCCTCCACTTAAAAAGTTCTTTCTTATTTCTGTGTATTAATCACAAAATGCTCACACAAATAACACTCTCAGTATTATAGCCTAGAACCTAAATCTTCCTTCATTTTTCAGGCAACGAATCTAAAATACAGCTACAGCTTAGATTCGTAAAATGCATTTGGAGATGAATTTGGACAACCCCCACAGAAAATATGTAATGATTTTCAAGTTTAGGACACAAAGACTCTTTTGAAATTTGAATTTTTACTCTATTTAGCTACAACTTCTTCTTCCTCTCATTACAAGACAAACACTTGCTTGTGACAAGTTATCATTGGACCAAAGACACCAGTAGGTTCAAAGGCACTATAAAATGTGAGCTCTTCCCAAATAAGCTACTTAAAGGCACTTTAATATGTTAAAAATTGATTAATAATGTTTGCCACAACCTCTCTAGGGTAACATTACAAGTATTAAGAAACTGATCCATATTAATTACATCACAAGGCCTTTTTATTACTAGCAAATGCCTTATAACCAAAGTTCAACACAAAGCTGGATGTATCCAATTTTCCCTCTACAAAATGCAGCTTTGTCACGTAATTGTTCAGAAACTTATTATTCTTCATTTTTAAACTGCTTTTCTTCAATGAATTATTTCCTTCACCCCAAGATTATAAACTCTATTTAAGAACAATTTCTGTGTAAGGAGCAAGGAGGCCCTAAAAGCAGTTACACTTCTAACATTTTCACATATTTATGTGCAGTCACGCTGAAAAATCTACTCTTTCTAATTTGCTCAAAAGATATTTGAAATCACTTGTTTAAATAGTAAAAGAAAAAAAACCCAAAACAACCAACTTTACAAGGTGTACATTAAAAAGAAGAAGTGTTCAGAACCTACAGAAGCCTGTTCCGGCCTGAAAAGGGATCTTCTGTGACCAAAGCCATTTCTCATTTCCCTGCAACAGGAACTTCTTCGCCTGTTCACCATCATCGGTAATGCAAAACTACAGTTAGCGAACCCTGAACACATGGCTCTGGGCTGCCGTGTCTCTCAGACATACCGGTTTAAATAACCTTAAAACAGGACACCCATCCTCAGAGCTAGAGCAGCATGCAGCCCTTATTTTTGGTGCAACGGCATGCAGAGCTGTGCCCTAGCACCCAACAAGCAGAGCAGACATCAGGAAAGGTTGCTGGAATACCACAATGAGTTTGGCAACTAAAGGCTCGGCATCACCAAACCACAGCGCTGCAGGGAGGCATATGCAAAGCCACCTGCGGAGAAAAGCGCGCTTGCATTGCCTACCAGCACGTAAACTGAGGTAAACTCCACCGTATCATTTTCCTAGAACAGGTGTGTCCGTTGCTCCTTCCACAGAAATTAAATCCAGAATGCGTCACACAAGCTCTTTAACACCATGAGTCAAAGAAAAGGTTAACTACTGTGCAACTCACGTAACCGAGCGAGCATAAACCAGTTGAAAACGTGAATGGTTTGGAGCTATGCAATTGTCAGCCTGCAGTTGCTATTTTTATTGTTTATAGGCATCCTCCTAAAAACCAGTTCTTCCTGTAAGACTACAAATAAATCCAGTAGGCATAAGTCGAAATGAATAGCATTAAAAAATAAAAATAAAAGAATGAGGATCATTTTGCAAGATGAATTTGTAGCTCAGGGTCAACCACCCGGCACGCGCACTTGGCAGTATCTCTGGGACGCTCTGGTTTTGTTTTAAGTCAGTGTTCAAATCATTCTGGATAAACGAGCTCAGCTCACTCTGTGCAGGCAGCTTTGCAGAAACCTGTTCTTTTCAGGTGGAAAGGAACCACTACCAGCAATCATAGCAAAAGCAAAAGGTAATTTTAAATACTTCTCTATTGACTTCTTATTCTGGACCTCACACACTCACAGATCGCTGACTGCTTCTAGACATCCCAGGATAAAAACTGTTATTGCAATTCTTTCACACAACAAACTCCAAGTCAAACTGAAAATTATTAAATCAAAACACCAGACATGTACAGCCAGATTTTATTTACATCCTGAAATGACTCTGCATTTTCCCACATGCTGTCACTAAGAGACATCTGTTTTGTAGAAAATCTTGGGCTCACGGTCTTGAGAGCTTGACAGAAGTTTTCTTGTACCACACAGGACCAGGAGAGCAGTTCTACTTGTTAAAGCTTCATGGAGGTTGAAGTCATTTAAAGGATAATAAAAACTTACATTGTAGGATAATCTCATTTGCATGTTTTTAGAAACAAGAATGTTTTCACCATCTTCTATAAATAAACAGTATAAAGTGGCCATAGTTATATCTAACTGTCCTTCTGACAGTACTTACATTTTAGCTGGACTGAAAGATCAGTATTTACAGTACTTTCAACTACCTGTTTTCTAAAGGCTCTTCTACATTTTTTGAGTCTTTTCGTTTCCACAGATTTCCAAGCACAATCCCCGTGAAGAGCAGAACTCCTACAGTACGATTTGAAGCAAATTTCTTCCAACAGTCTTCAGGTTTGTCTATATCCAAAGTGTAAATCTGAAAAAGCACAGTATGACGTTCTAGCATTATTATTCTACAGACTCATAGGTATTTGACACACGACAAAAAGACACAAAAAGGTCTGCTATTTCCAAAACTGAATCTCAAATTCTAAAGTCTACCCTTACCTCCACAATAAACAGGAATTGGGCTTGCAAAGGATTTTTTGCATAACTGGCATCTATGTTTACTTGACAGATTTATTCAACCCACAGCAGAAAAGTCAAGGATCACATATTAACCCAATTCCCAGACCCTCTCAATGAAGGACTGTACAAACAGCCTGGATACTGGTCTGTCTAGTTTGATACTTAAAAATGCAAAAATATCTGAGATGTAAATAAGTCTTTTTGAGATTTTTGTCAGTAGGTAGCCACCTAATCCTTCAATGGAAACTTAAAATAAAAATAAAACCCCCAAAACCTGCCGGCACCTTTAAATCTCTGCTGCAAGTTGTTGCTCCGTGTTTCAGTAGAGACAAAGCACTGGAGAGCCAGCAGGCAACCAGGCTAACTGGAATGCAAAGGAAGGTGCCCAGCCCTGCCTAATCGCATAGGGCTAGTTTAGTCCAGTCACTCCTAGCCAAGTCCATTCAACTCTCATGCAAAAAAGAACCAAGACACCTGCAAAAACAGCTAGAAGCAAGGTTTGCCCAGTTTGGCGGCTGTCTGCTGTGAGTCACAACTAAAACCACACAATGCAGCAAGAGCAAAGGTACTGAAAAATATTTCCAGAAACAAAACTTGGTGCAAAAGTCTTGAGAAGGATGACAAGAGGAAATGTTAAGCAAAACAAGTGAAAGGATTAATAGGAAAGTACCTCTCAAAACCTCAAACCCTGCAATTCAGCCTCTGAAGAAGTCAAAACAAAATACACCTGACTAAAAGAAGTGAAACCTTCCCTGGGAAACCTGTTCCTCTGCCGTTTGCAGTTGTACAGAGGCAACAGGGCTGGCTTCTGATCAAATAATCTGAAACGTTGTCCACAAGCATCTAAGACATGATGTTATCCACACCCTTGAAAACCTGTCAGCCCCTCAAGAACAGGGAACTGAAAACACTGAACTGACAAACAAAACCCAACAGAAGCCAAGCCAAGAGATTTATCTTCAGAAATGCAACGGAAATAAAAGAGGTTATTTTTCTATCTGTGAACTTCTGGAGTGGGATAGAAATTTGACATCTTCATGACACAAATTCCTCTACCTCAGGCACAAATTCAATGAATTAAGGAAAACCTATCCCTCATGCAGCTTACTCAGCTTTCTAAACTCAGTTAGTTAAGCACACATTCAGAAATCTTGAACAAAAAGATAAACATGAGATTAATTTAGGCAGAACTAGTATTAAAATAATAACTCAAAAAGAAGCTACTCTGTGGCACACAGAAGAATGCTGCTCTTGTGACTTTGGCAATCTACACAACTGTTGTGCACACTTCACCTCTTACGTTCAATAGGTCTGTGTTCTCACTTATAAAAGCCCTCCCTGCAGGAAAGTAATTTCCATTTGTGCCGAAACTACAATGTAAGGCCTCTGACAACTCAAACTGTAAATGATTACACAGCAGAACATAGTCTTCTTTCCCTCATACATTTCCAAGCACAATCACTATGAAAAGCAGTGACTGACAAGTACCAGACTACATCATCTCAAGAATTCTCTTACTCAGAGGTATGTTTAATATCCATCGCCTGCCTGAGCTCCCCTCATTAAAGTGCAAAGTAAGTCTGACGTGCTTTAAAAAGTTTCATGCTAACCACAGACTTAACTTCTCAGACTGCTGATGGTTTTACTACTTGTAGTGCACAAAACTCTTTGCTATCAGTCATCTACCAAGACCAGCAATTAATTTTCATATAGACTGACTAGTCACTACAAGACTGGGCAACACAGCTGTTAGGATTCAGAAAGAACAGGGTAACGAGATTCTATCTGCTTTCTTTACTAAGTTAATTTATTTCTTTCTGTTACTCATTTAAATTTCTAAACTAATACATCTACAAGACTGGACTGCATTGTTCTCTGCTATAAAAAGAACTGTGAATTAGAACTGCCAATTACTGTAAAATTACATTAACATCTGCTACAGATGGTAGTGAATAAGCCACAGAAAATGTTGTTATACTGTCAGACCCCAGATTGAAGCTTCAAACAATACAGACTAATCATTTAGATGTAAAATTAACCATCTCTGAGAGACAGAAAATGCAACATTCATTTTCATATAGCTACTGTAGAGTATGTTATTAAAAAAAAAGCCTGCATGTGCCCTGGATACTGTAGACCATATAATCTTTTAAAGTAAGTGAACAATCATCACATACATCCATTGTAGTCTCAGATCATATGTGCCAGACACGACAAGAGCTGTATCAGAACAGTTAAAACTGCACAATCTTGAAGGATATTGAGGTGGATCCAGCTGCGGCCGCTACTGGAAGCGAGAAGAAAACTGTTCCCTTGAGGTGACAGCTTAATGTGAGGCAGTTCTTTTGGTTAGGAACATCTTCTGGTTAGGAACAGAATGAAAACCAGTGCTCTGTGGACCACTAGAGGACCTTTCAAACAAAAGGTCTGCAAAAAGTACTTAAGTGAAGCAAGCTTTTTGTCAGAAGACTTGGTTCTCTTTAAAGAAATTGGTTTTTTTTAGGTAGTTGGCACATTGATGAGGGTTGAAAAGCCCTCTGATTTCTTATCAAGAATTTCCACATGGAAAAAGTATAAATAAATCCATCAAACCTGGTGTGCTAGGTGAGCCCCTATGGCAGCCACAGCTGAGTAATACGGAAACGTCTGGTTACAATTAATTCCTGCCAGGCACAAACTCAGGAGCATTGCAAGGCTGAAGCCACTGAGCCACTGCTTCGTATCCTCCTTGAACTGTAATGCTGTTGACTTCACACCGATAATGATGTCATCCCTCTTATCCTAGAATGAAAGGATGAATCAGTAAAACATCCACAATCCCACTGCCACTTCATAAGGAAAATAAGAAGAGGGGTCTTGCTTAAGTTTCCGATGCTTCTTATGAGGAACCCAATTTAAGTGGATGTGTAGGTCCCTACATTAAAATTTAAATTAGAAGGTTGGATCTTAGAGCTGCTTTAGCAGCCAAGAGATAAGACTAATGTGAAGTTATTTACACAATGCAAATGCATCAGCGCACAAAGTGCATTATACTTCCATCTTTCTACCTGATATGTAAAAGATTTGCAAACAGTAATAAAAGGTGCAAGGGTTGGTGTTTCTTTGGTGCTGTTTTAGCCCAGCTGAGCGTGAAGAACTGCAACAGGTCAATACTGCTGTTTGGCAACTAAACTGTAAGTTAAAACATGCAAACATCCACACATATCTAAAATTTTCCACCGTTACTCTACCTGATGTGCATAAATGGTATCGTATACCAGCGTCCACATTACTCCAGCTAAGTACAAGGGCAAACACACAGACCACTCACATGACCCTTTGATGGCAGACCAGCCAAGAAGGGCTCCCCAATTAAATGTAAGTCCTAAAAACATAAAAAGAGTAAAAAAAAAAAAAAAAAAACAAAGAAAAAAAGTTACAAGATTGCCAGGAGCAATCTAAATTACATGTATAGAACTAAATATTATTTGTTTGAGCTGTTGCGGTTTTAATGCGGCCGGCAGCCAAACACCACGCAGCTGCTCGCTCACCTTCCCCCGCCCAGGGAATGGGGGAGAGAATCAGAAGGGTAAAAGTGAGAAAACTCGTGGGTTGAGATAAAAGCAATTTAAGAATTGAAATAAAATAAAAACTAATAATTATAATAATGATTATAATAGTAATTATGGCATATACAAATGAGCGATGCACAGTGCAATTGCTCACCACCCACCAACCACTGCTCAGCCCATTCCGGGCTAGTGACCCCAGAGGAGAGAAAATCCCAAATCCCAGAAGAAAGAAAGCGAGCTTCCTGGCCAACCCTCATCTGTATACTGAGCATGATGTTACATTACATAGAATATTCCACTGGCCAATTTGGCTCTGTTGCTTTTGCTATACGCTTTCCCACCTGTACGCTAGCAAAGCATGGGAAGCTGAAAAGTTCTTCATTTCTTAGCAACAACTAAAAACACGAGTACATTATCAACACTCTTCCCATACCAAATCCCATACGAAATCCAAAACACAGCGCTACTCTAGCTACTGAGAAGAAAGTGAGCTCTATCCCAGCCAAAGCCAGGACATGGGTGCATATCATATCAGCACAATACTGGCATCTCGATTTTTCTACCAATTATTACTTAAAAATTCAAGTCATTTGACATTAAATACCCTGTACATACAAGGAGAAATACATGGACATGCATTTTTCCCCAATTTCAATTTCAGTTCCTTACCATGGGGAAACATTTGCACAGAACTATTCCAGTGTACTAAAACAAGTCTAAAGTTAAAGTGCTTAGATACCAGTAGAACAAAAGATGTCAGTATAACTGACTGCAAAAGAGTGCACAGCAGCCAACTACGGTACTCCGAGGCTGAAAATGACAATTTGGGGTGAAAAAGCCAAAGGCAGCTGGAAAGTGAAGACTAAGATACAAAGATATGTTTTAGTAGCTCAATCTGAAATGCAAGCACTACCAGTTTCTGCACAGGAGTTATTTTAGAGGCTGAAGACTGAAATGCAGGACAAATGCATGTTTAAGGAAGGTTTCGAAATAACCCCGAAACTAAAGCTGATTCTCAAATGACAAATATTTATTTTCTCCATCTCGTTCTCCCTCCTTTCACTCTGTCAAAATAAGGAACTGATTTTTAACAAAAAAACCCCAAACCCAAACAGCAACTCTTATACGTGTTACAAACTCTTTACGAAGCTTCTGGCACAAGAGAACTTTGTTAATAAGGCATTTTTATTTTAATATAAAGTTATAAAAAATCAGATTGCTGAAGTTCAATTACTAATTTGTAAAACACCCCCAAAAACCACATTTGAAGGAAAAAAAAAGTAAAAATATTTCCAGCTTACCCAAAACTAACTGTGGCCAATATGTTATTCTCTTCATCAGAGGGTAGGTAATTACAAGAGACAAAGAGGCTGCTCCCAGAATGATACTGTAAAAAGTACCAAGAGGTTTATTGTTTGCCAGTCTAAAGATCACAAGATATGGTGCAGCATTACAGGAGATGTACATAGTACTGAACTAATTATTTTACTTTCAAATACAATTCCATGGCTGATAACCTCCTGTCTCTGCCCCCAACACCCTTTCTGCTGAAAATATCTGTGCTTAACTCTGGACCAGCAATCAAACTTTAAAAAACAAAAGATAACTTATACATCACCTATAATAATTCAGACACAGAAGCACACAAAGCGCCAAGCTAAGCTGTCCTCCAAGGAAAACAAAGGACTGAAAAGTGGAGATGTCTCCAGCTGCAAGGGGCCTACTTGCTGTCCTTGCAACCTAAAAATGGAAAGAATAACATTAATACCAAATCCAACATAACACATTTCAATGTATCTTAAAACTAAAAGTCACATCACTGGCATATAAGCAGAAAAATAAACAGGAACAGGTCATAGAATGTATGAGATGGGGTTCCTTCACTGACAGAAACATAGCATGTCATCATGGACATGAGCTGTATTTCTAAGCAGCAGCGTTTATAATAGATGCATGCAGGCTTTCAAACCTAGAGCAGAAATAAAGTGCCACTTGTGTGCAGTGAGGCTGAGCAGAAACACTGTAGACATCTTGCATATTAATTTTATTACCTTAGGGAAAAAAACAACTCAGACTTAAAAAGTTGTGAGCTAATTATCCCAATTTTGAGCAGCACTTTTGTGCTCAAATGCTTTAAAGCGATTACCACGTAAAATACTGTAAAGATGCAGGGCTCCTCTAGCACACATAACCATTGTTAATAACCATGAAAGGACAATTAATTTAATCCTTGTTGGGATACAATGGAGTTTAGAAACTCTGTCTGGAATAAGAAATCATACAAGGCAAACTGAAGGAAGAAACAAATAACAGAAAAAAGTTAAACTGAAATGTAGGGTGAGTTACGTGCCAAAGGCGACCATTGCTAAAAGATAAAAGTCTTGCATCTTGATGAAAATGGTACAAAGTCAATTTGAAGAGGTTCAAAAGTGAAGTGTTTACAGAGTACTATGTGTGAATAAAGTGTTCTGCATATGCCTTAATAATGTGAATTTAAATAAACTCTTTTAGTTTGTTCTGCCCCCCCTCCCCCATCAGGTTATGTGAAACGTCAAACACTGCTTTTGCTGTTTAAACATGCAATTAACATATTTGTAACCAATTCCACTGCACTTCATAATCAAACATGGGATGTTTCATTTAAAGAAAAGAAAATAAAACGTTTAACAAATAATCAGGTACAAAATCTAAAACCCCAAACCACCATCACCAACATCCTGTTATTGACCCAGCCTCTATCACACTTGTTTTGAATATATCCTTGTAAGGCATGCAAGAAAGAGCTGTGATGAGAATTTTTAAAAATTTACATCTAACCCCATCACATTAATGCATAAATTAATTCATCAGATTGCAAATTCCGTCTTATTAATCACACACTCCACTCTGTGAAATACTTTTAGCATATGTAGTTGTTAATAACCTCCAAACCCTAAACCATCCAAAGCTGCCACAAAACCTGCACTGATGCATTGCCTTCCCAACAGCACCAGTACAACAGTGCTGTAAGAAGAACTTCACATATTGGATTAGCTCATTATCCTGTCGCTTGCCAGTGATGAAACCCAAAACCAGAGGAACAATATAGGAACAGAAAACAGGACAAACACTGATGCCTCACCAGGATACTCCCCTTCAAGCCTGCACTTGTGAACATTCCAACATCTGACACTGGGCACTGCCTTTTGCTTATTTCCCTCTTCTGAACAAAAGGGAGATTAAAATACAACATAAGAGGATTAGCTCAGGGTTGGGCATGATACCCTTAACAGCCACTCTCATACAGAAATTAACAATACTCAAGGAAACCCTGCCCCTGAGAATTAAAAAAAAACCCCAAAACCCCAAAAAAGAACAGTTCTTGGGCAGATCATAACTACTAAGTGCAGCAAAGGAGTGTGATTTGTTTTGTTCTGTCATGCCAAACAAAGTTGAAAAATAAACATCAATTACTGCATTGCCTGCCAGGTGAGGGAGGTGATCGTCCCCCTCTACTCTGCACTGGTACAGCCTCTACCTCGAGTCCTGTGTGCAGTTTTGGGCACCACAGTATGAAAAGGATATAAAGCTACTGGAGCGTGTCCAGAGGAGGCCACTAAATTGGTGAAGGGCTTAGAGGGGAAGCTGTACAAGGAGAGGCTGAAGTCTCTTGGATTGTTCAGCCTGGAGAAGAGACCTCATTGTGGTCTAGAACTTCCTCACAAGGGGAAGAGGAGGGGCAGGTGCTGATCTCTTCTCTCTGGTGACCAATGATAGGAACAGAGGAAACGGCAGGAAGATGTGCCAGGGGAGGTTTAGGTTGGACATTAGGAAAAGGTTCTTCACCCAGAGGGTGGTGGAGCACTGGAACAGGCTCCCCAGGGAGGCGGTCATGGCACCAAGCCTGACAGTATTCAAGAAGCATTTGGACAACACGTGCCCTTAGACACATGGTCTGAATCTTGGGACTGTCCTATGCTGGGGCAAGAGTTGGACTCGATGATCCTTGTCGGTCCCTTCCAACTCACACCATTCCATGATTCTATGATTCTACCACCTACAGCTGACAACATATATTTTATCTTTGTACACAGAGGTAAGTACTCTGGAAGACTTATTACAGTCCTAGACAATGTTATATAAAATGAAGTGATCTCTACTATTCTAGGAGGAAAAGTAGACTAATTGCATGCATCTCAGACTGAAACGCAGAGGAATTTGGGAACCTGGAGCCCTATACCTGCACTTGGCAAGGAATCACTGGTGACCCTGGGGATGAGCGGGCGTGTACCTGGTCAATTAACCGGCAATTCCCTTCCCGGGGTGTCTACGAACCCCTGGGGGCTTCTCTACCTTTTTGTCATAGTCACGGTCCCACATGTCATTGATGGTGCAGCCGGCTCCGCGCATGAGCACCGCTCCGATGCCGAAGAGGGCCAGCATGTGCCCGTCCGGGAGGCAGCCCGGCTGGGCC